CATTAAAGAGAACACAGTCTACGGAAGACCGATCTATGTGGGTATTTCGTTAGACGCTGCCCGAGAATGATTAAACATTTTCTACATCACCCAGTCAAATAGATTCATAGTAAGCGTTCTGAAATGCATCCCATCGAGTATACGAACTCTGAGTAGAAATTTCCAGATCTCTTTGTGGGGAGAAATACCAGGGGTGTGTTTTAGCCCCTACTGAGGTTGACGTCACTCAGAGGGTCAAACTTATGAAGGTCCCGCCCCGCCCTTGGGTGAATCATAATTTCTTTAAATACGTAACAAACAATTATTTATTTTAATCCGTCTGATCACAATATAATTTATTTAAAATTTCTTATAATTAAGATAATAAAATATCATTCATGTTCCATATCGATTGATCGATTTACATTTCGGAACATTTAACACTACATGATTCGGTTTTTATAAAACCATCATTGAATGATATTTTATTATCTTAATTATAAGAAATTTTAAATAAATTATATTGTGATCAGACGGATTAAAATAAATAATTGTTATAATATTCACAATATGACGCAATTACACTATCTTACGTAACAAAATAATAATTACGATCTGAGGTTCTGACGGCGTTGAGTCTGAAATGAACGTCTTCTGGGTTGTTGAGCCGTGTAGTGTTGTAGAATTTTACAGATGTTTCATAGGTGCTTCACACGGCGAAACAACCCAGAAGACGGTCATCTTAAATCGAAATTGTTGTTCTCTCCCTCGGATATCGTGCGTGCTGCTGCAGTCGGGAGAAACCTCTCTCTTCTCGTCGCTGCATTGCAGTTGTCGTCCGGGATTATGGTCTGTATAAAGCGGAACGAGTGTATCTATTTCTTGCACAGTTTTGAAATTCTCTCTGTCCTAATTCTTTTCCGATACATCTAATGTTCGCGGTATTACATAAATATCGAAAATCCGTGACTTTCAGATTCAGATTATTTGAGTATCGAAATTTTTGCATTGCAGCCAAGCTATTTAAATATATTTTTACGTTCTAAAGTATTTTATCTCTTGATTTTAATCTTAGAAGAACTAATTTTAGTCTTGTCTTCTGATTTTGTTTTCTAATTACAGTTTCCTTCTGCTTGCTATTTCTAGGTTTTCCTCAGCTGCTTGTGGGCGCCGGCGATCGGTAAGTTTCGTTCTTTTCTCTTATTGGTGCCCAATTAATTCTGTCATCCGCGCAACAAAAAAAATGCTTTCATATTTGAAGCCTTGTAAAACCCGTCACGAAGCTAACTCCTTTACAAAAAATATATTTGCTTTGGTTGAGGGTTCGCTGCACGTCACAGTCGAGTGGTTAGCACTCCTCTTTAATATTCGGGATATCCGGGTTTAAATATCGATCCGGAGACCGGATATATTAGACTGAAGCCTTTCGTGGTTTTCCTTATTCCTTCTAGGCAAATATCGGGATAGTACCTGAAATTAGGCCACGACCGCTTCCTTCTGTATCCTTTGTAATAAATTGTTCATATTCATGCCATCATTTCCTACTCCATAGATCCGAGTCCTTCCTAAGAAGCTGAAACTCGCTCAGCGACTCAAGAAATTCCCACGCATTTTACGGAACCCTAACGTTCATTACCGCGCCCACAAGAGCCCGCCACGTGTCACTATCAACAGCCACATGGTTCCAGTCCATACCAAACCATCCTATTTATCTAAGATCCATTTTAATATTATCCTCCCACCTACGTCTCTTTCCTTGTGGTTTTTTCCACCAAAACAATGAATGCATTCCCCCTCTCTCATGCGGTCTACATGCCCTGCCCATCTCATCCTCCTTGACCTGATCAGTATAATTTTTTTGGTGGCGAGTAAAAATTACGAAGTTCCTAATTATGCAACTTTCTCCATTCTTTTTCCTCAAACGCCCTAGGTCTACGTTCCTCCCTTAGTGTCAGAGACCAAGTTTCACACCCATACAAAACTACATCATCCTACACTCCCAAATTTGAAAAACTGGCCTATGAAATGCAGCCCCAAACATCGCACTAACTTCCTACTTGAGTAATAATAATTGTACTTATAAAACTACGTATTTTTGATTGCATCATTAAAAGTCGTGTTGTTTTGCGTATCATTTGGTGTCCATATCTTATTTGTCCAGAGAAAAGAAAATTTGGCTTTGTTAATTGGTTGGTGAACGCCACGATCTCTCAAATTCTCAAATGTGCGCGTAGGCACAAAAAGGTTTGAGGACCACTGGATTGGGGTTTTTCACGGTGGTGAATCTGAAGATGTCTGTCTCCTCGGTGACCTTTTACCAGATTACACGTCGAAACAACCCAGGAGACAGCAATCTTCATTTTGCATTAAGATGATAAATTTATTTGTAGGTTAGATGCGTCAT